AAATTGGTTTGTTATCTTTACATCATAGCACATTTCTTTATATTGTCATTTATATTGTGCTATATTCTTACTTAAATTAAATTATCGATCTTGCGTATTTAATTCTAGTATTATACTTTGCATTCATATCTTGTGTATTGTATTGTTTTGAAACTAAGTGTCGAAAAAGTTTATTCACTCCCCTCTTGGTTAGTTATTCTTGGGTTATCACTTATCTCGTTATTACTTAAGACCATGGATGATTTAAGATTTAGGCATATGTAATTTATATATCACAATCACAACTCATCGTGATTAACAAATTACTAAGATTTGAATATACGAACTCTATTATTTAATTTAATTGAATATTAATTAAATAATAGATATGACGTAAAAATGCATCTTATATATTGAAAGTGTTTATATTGTTTCAACTAAACTGGATCCTGTATGCACTTACAAGAATCTCTTTCATAAATTGTATAAAGTAACGAGAAGTCCAAGAAAGCAACTAAATATTTTTCAACCCCTACTTTTTTGTTTCTTTATTTGCGGTTGGGGGGCTGATTGATCTATCTTGGATTTTGGCCACTCGGGTCAAAGATTGAGTGTGTCGAATGTCTTATGAAAAACCTCTATGAATATCCACACCCCTTTTGGTTGGACCAAAAACTAGATCAAGAATACACTAGCATGCTACTCACAATATGCAGTTTTTATATACGGAAAATTTATATATACCCAACTATTACGTAATAATTCATTTTATACTACTAAACCCAAATAATAACCAATTTTACTACGTAACTCTTTTATAATGCCAAAAGTACTGCATAATCAACTTTTCATGTCTAAAGTTGTAACTGATGGTATAAAGGAAATTCAATAGGGGTAGCATTAATTGTCATTGCTGAACTTTTGGAGATTCAAAATTCAAAAATTCATTGCTTGATATTAATTAAACTAATAATAGGTGATTTTGTGGCTGCTTGGATTCAAATCCGGCGATTTAGTATTACATCAAACGGTTATATTCTCGTGATCTCCATTCAAGAAATTTATAGAAAATGATTACAGGTAATTTCTTCCTTTTGTAATTATTAATCACGAATGTCGTATCTATGTATCTGAAACCCAATTTTTTGTCAGTTCCAACGGAAAGATCCAATTGTTAGTTATTCACCACTATCACACATTCGAAGAAGATCTACCAGTGACAATATGATCTTCATGGGGGGGTTTCACATTTACAAAGTTATATAAACATCTGAAATTTAAATGATCTCTACATATTAGATATTGAATCATGGTTTATGTTAATATCTGATTAACCTTACTAAATCATACCAATGTTGTATTCACTTTAAGCTTTATGCAAGATTTTTTTCCTGTATATATATAGCTGAGAGTTCACAAATAGTGTTATCTCAAGTTTCCAATAAAATAAGCTACAAGTTTTTGTGATGAATTGATATTCAGTAAATCCATCGTTCAAGTTAGTAAGCCCCTTTAACATCATTCTGCTTCTCACGCCACTCGGTAAGTTTAGAATCTTTGCAGCAAAGACTTGACAATTGACCAATTTGCATATTGCAGCAAATACCTGACAATAAATGGACATCTACCTCTATCAAAATCTGAATTGTCCCAACGACCCATTCTAATATATGTAATTTGATTTGAGCAAATCACACGCTAAAATATCTATTGAGAAAAATCATTACACATTCAAACATAAACAATCCAATAATCATCTTGTTCCATTCAAACAAAATCTATGTACAAATGAAAATACCCTGAACAGATTAAAGCAACACAACTCTTTTGACGGAAGAAAGTGATCTATAGATATGATTTGATAGTGGCAACAATTCAATGAATCATAAGTGCACAATCACAACAAGGGAAAACTAGAGAATGAATTAAACATAAATAATAAAACAAGCATTAGTTATCACTTTAGTACCCATACATAAACGTACTTTCACTTCAAAAAAATCACCAGAACTCGACATATAGGATTTTATGGAATCAATCTCATCATTCTAACACGACAATATATAGATAATAATAATTTCATCTAACACCAAAATATGATAAAATACTACTAAAACATCATAATATGATCTTCACAAAACGGGGATCAATGTGTCATCCGAACATGCCAAAATACAAAACATTCCCCACTATGGGAAGATCCTACAGACTACTATTTACCATTAAACAAAAACACCTGTTTAAAACTGAATCAATCCTATGCAATTATGGTTCCCTTCATCTTTCTATCCCTCCTGATGCTCTGTGATATAAATATCAAAGTTAGTCCGTAATTTTTGATGATCTCGCAGACATTTTTGTATAGTTGAGCTACTAGGTGCATTCTTGCAATTTTTGGATCGAACATATCTGTCATCACATCCATCTTCTTCAGCAAACTTTTATAGCGTATAAACCGCAGAGATCAAAGTGGTCAGATATATCAATTCTTCACAAAATATATGAATTCAAAACATATGAAATAATTTGAAGATGAGGAGGATTGTGGTGCAATGGTTAAACTATCACACTTGGATTCTTGATTGTGTCAAAAAAGAAAGGTTGGGTTTAGGGATTAATGTTGGCAACAAAACCGATGCTGCTAGCGCCGTTTGGCGGAAAAATTAAAGCCATCAAATCTTGAAATTGATGTGAGACACAATATTGTGGGTTTTTTTTTTTTATTTACTATATTAAATGTGGTATTTATGGTAAAAAAAAAATAAAAATGTAGTAGTATAATTTGAATTTTATTTTAAAATGTAATGATGGGTATAATTTCCACATATATATGCTCATATATACTTCTGAATATATGTTCACCTTTTTTCCTGTATGTTTAACCTAGTATCAACATCTAGACTATTATGTAAGACAATATAGTAGGAATTACCAAAAAAACCGACAAATCCAATACTCGCGGAGCTCAACCCCGAACAGGGCTAAAATTACCCACTTAATCAGGTATTCGAGTCGGAGACGGTAACTTACCACAAAGGAGGGGACGGTTAACGACCGCCCAGCCCCGTTTAATTTTTTTTTTTTAGAATTCAATACTCCTAATGAAAAATTTCATGAAATTTTATTAGTTCTAATAAAAAATGACAAACAATAAAAATCCTAATTTCCCAAATATATTTGAATAATTTAACTTATAACAAATATATTATTTTCTCAATCTAATGAATGAAGACAATAAAATGAATAAAAAAACTTCAAAAAAAAACATAAAGTAAACGAGTCAAGGGCTTCGCCCCCCCTTGAATGGGTAACGAGGCGGGGGCTGAGGAGGTTGTCCCAACCTCGCCCCATTGCCATCCCTACAATATTCGCAAGATTGAGGTGGGATCAATTTGATCAGAAAAGAGTAAAGTGAATAATGCATATATAGGGTGCACAAACACGAAGCTAACTTGCCAGGGACACAACATTATCCAAACATATGCAACAAAGTAAAGAACGTTTAAGATTAAAGGTTTGGTCGCCATACTCATCCAATGAACCAAGATTTCAAACTGGTGTTCTAACTTCAAACATCCAAACAAGTCCAGACAAACACTACATAAACAGTGACCAACAGCAAGTAAAACTCAGCGATATCGGCGAAGAGAAAGTGTGTTGTTCCTCTTCCAGGTGGCCCTGCGTGAAGGACGTGCCTTGTGGTTCAAGTGTCCCTTTCCACGTAGACCTCTGTATTTCTTTCCTGCTGAAGTGAGACCACGGAGCTCTCTGTGCTTGTGCACAGGGTTGCAAATCCAGTTGATTCTTGGGTCATTGCGTATAGCTTGATGTGCAGGATCAACCAAGATTACCTCAAAGTACTTGTAAGTTGAGTCCTACATCAACAAACAAATGCAATATGTACTATTATTCAGAGTAAGGTCTAAGGTTTGCTTTCTCTTTTTGTTAGTTGAGTTGAACTAGTATATGGAGTAACTAGGTCATACTCAAGTCCTGGAATTCTGGTGGGTTGAAGGATGGTCGTGCAAGAAGACGTTGACTGGAAAACGACGCGACTTTAAACTCAACCCATTGTGGGACCAACCACCCGAATGGTATGTGCTATGGAAATCCCTGTCCAGAGAACGCTGGTGGAGCGGAGTGTGCTTGGGCTATCTACTGTATTGGGACATTTTGTTAACAACATAATAAGGTGGTAATATTTAGAGCGGTTACTTTATGTTAGTATGTATAAGATGGCAGCCTAAATCTAACAGTAAATATAGATAACAAAAAGAGTAAACACATAAAACAATTTCATCATATGGTATCATCCTTTGCGATAATGTACCAAATGTGAAAACCATATTTAAACACTAAACTCAAGATACTTGTCTAAAACTGCGCTCGATCACCCCCCTAAAATCTTACTTTGTAAATAATACTATGTTGAGAAAGTGAAAACTAACTATCATTAGTTTCACAAATCCTTACACTTTTCCACCATTTTTGCTATTATTTCTAATGTTCTATTTTTTAGAACATAAAAGCAAAATTTATATTATCTTTTCAAGTACAGAAATCCAATGTTAATCACAAAAGTTCATGAATCCAGCACATTTCTAAGTCCTTTCTCAATGTTTCACATTCTAGGGTGATTTTTAAGAGTAAAAAATTATTTATTATGCCCCCCTTTGTTTCTCATTTTTCATCCATAAAAATGAAAAATATGACCCCGTTATCCATCAAATCAAACCATCAATTTTGAATTTATATCTCTCGTGTGGGGCTGAATAACGACTATATTTTTCATTCTCGTTCTACAATAATAAGAATCAAACGGCCCTATGTATAGTTCTTTCCGTCACTTCATGTGATGTTAATTACTAATATATTGATTGTCACTAATCTCCTTTTAGATTATTAATTATTTTGATTAAACATAAGGAAATAACGATTTTTCGTTCATTTTACTCAAAATCGAAAACAAACAAACTCTACTTTCCATAAAAAGAGGTGTGTCTGTTTGCCTGGAGAAACAATTGGACCATGTTCTAATATATGCATGCAGGCCAAAAAAAATATTGAATAAATAAATTGATACGAATGGGTTGGCTACTCTATCAGTTTTTTTTTTCTATCTTTCTGTCCATCTTGGTCGCGGTAAACCAAATCTTATAACATTTGAAGATTCCAAATAATTTGCAGAACACGACGCAATATTAACAAAATTTCCATCAAAAACCTTATATTTCCAATTCAACAAGAACCCTCTAAATCCAACTTTCCATATAACAAATAAATCAAGCAAAAATCAAATAATTTTGCTAGAACGAGAAAGATTTTTTCTTAATGAACTAAGTAGCGCAGTCATTGATTATGAGACATCTACAAAGGAAACAATGCTCAAAGTCAAGAAAGCTATAAAGAATAAAACAAAGAAAATCCAGATGAAATTATAAAGCAGCAGTTGTATTATTATAAGGAAAATGTGGGAAGAGAAGGGGAACCTGCTTTGCCTTGTAGCCGAGGCGGCGGGCCTTGTCAGGTCGTGTGGGGCGGACGACCCGGACTACGGCGGGGAGCTGGCGGTACTCCCAACAGCGGACCCTCAGCAAGAACCTCATCACATCCGATTGCTTCTTCTTCCACAGCTCCGACACATACGTGTACGCCCCTGCAATTTTACAGTCATTACTGAACACATACATAAATTTCAAACATTATCTCATTAGTCTCATTACTTCAATATTCAAAGCCATAGAGCAGAGGGGAAATCGCATTGAGTTTGTGAGACTGAGAGATGTGCATACCCATTGGAAATGGATCGGTGGCAGCTTCTCTATGCAACTGTGAGGACTTCACAAACCCTAGAAGTAGAATAGATATATAAAGAAGGAATACGATATGGGCCTTTGCGGGCTTAATCGAACATTATAGCCCAATACATGCTGGAGAACGAAATTTTGAGCCCACAATTGTTCAATGAGTCTGCTTTCTGAGAAACTCGGAAATGCAGAGGCCCAAACAACATTACATCACTTCTTGCACCAATTTTCGGTGATTCATAGCGGTGTTTGGAGCGAGGGATATTTACTTCATTGGTTGTTGAATACGGAACTTCGAAATTTTTCACCATAGTTATCTAACTTTCAAACATGATAATCGTCTATCATTTAAATTTTGATAGATTTCATTAAAGGAGATAATGAATGGCTAACTAAAATGGGAAATTAGGCACAATACCCTCTAAAAATGAGAATTTTGAATAGTACTCTTAAAACTAATTAAAACATTTAATCACGTATTAAATACGTTCAAAACCTCATAGCCCCAAATGAAAACCCTTGATTCCAAAAAAACTCCCAAACCATTCACTGCAAAAAATTTCAACTCTATACTCCCATGCTGTTTAGATGCTTCAATGAAACATTCAGATGGAGGCCATGAGCAAGACCAAGCCATTCCCCTCCTTCGTCAGGTCTCTGATGTCGGCCACCGCCATTACGATGAGAATTACGTTCGAGAACTCATCGAGAAGGCCATCTGGTTCACTTTGCATGTATGTACTTAATTTTTATATGTTTAGATATTATTTTGTGCTTTTTTTATGTTTGGGGTCTTCTTTTGCCTTTCTTCAAAGCCACTCTCTTAGATCAAAGTGGAATAGGGAAGTTTTTTGGGGTGGGTATGTGTACCCAGTTGAAAATGATTGAATTTTTTAGAGTATATGGTTTATGTTTTGTGGGTTTTTTGTTTAATTGCTCTGAATTTAAAAAAACTCGGAATTTTAAAGTTCAGTTAACTTCCTGATTAATCTGCTATTTCTTTCTTATTGGGTATCTCTTGGCAGCAAAAGTATTGGGTTAGTTTTAATTGTTTGATGTAAACAAATTTTTGTTTCCCTTCTAATTTTGGCATGAATTGAGAATTTGGTAAGGAGAAATTCTACCTTTTGATATCTTTAAGGAATTGTATGCTATTTTGAGAACTTTATATGGAGAAATAATTTTGTGATGAACAATGGCAATGTATGTGAGCTGGCTCAAGACAGT